TTGTTCTCTCGTGCCAGTGGTTCTACTGTCCCTGAATGTTTAAGATTACCTGATCCTGACCTGTTCTGCCTCTCAACCACTAAGCCAGCCTGTTCCAGTCTGATCTTTTTGCCTGACCTGTCTTCGAACTCCTGTACCTCTGAGCCTTCCTGTTCTGAATTGTTTGCCTCACTTGGCGTCGGACTCATGCTTGTTCTCGGTCCTACGGGGCTGCAGCGTTGGGGACACTCTAGGCGCCCGCCGCATCTTGTAAGCAGCGATTGTTTTCATGACACGGCCTGAACTGTTAAACCTGCGTAGCACTCGCCCGTTCATGTCATCCTTTATTAGATTTACGTGGTCACTAACCTGTGTTTCCTTTTACAGAAAGATGCCCTGCTGAAGCACCCACCCATTTTTAAATAAACACTTTGAATTATCCCACTGTCTTTCTTGGCTCGAATACTGTGTCATTCTTTTCTGAACCATGACAAGGACAGCTGATGCTTGACTAAAAAAACATGATGCTTCCTAAAAATGAGGTCATACAAATCCTGGGCCTTGATATGTAGCACTGCTCATTTCTAGGTGGTTAAGTGCAAATTCAAAAGTTGCTGAAGTGATTACTGTTGACCCGTATATGACATTGCCTACACCCCTGCTTAGTCCTGGTTAAAAGTCCATGTCTTTGTTATATCTGTGAAACTAAAAAGCTTGGGAACCAATGCTTCAGGTGTCATGTACAGGATCATGTTTATGCAAATGATCTATGTTTTCATATAAGAAGGCTGTACTGAATTTAACATACTAAAAGAGATTTAGTTTCTACTTCTCTTTGGAATGTGACCTATCAAATCTTCTCATGGAAATGAGCAATCCAATCCTTAGTCCTTGTTAGAAATCCTTGGTGAGATTAGATATGTGATTTAAATATGAATAAGACTATTTAGGCTAAATATAACCTCTCATTCAGCTACCTCGCTTCCACAGAGCAATAGGAGTTGAAAAAAAGTTGAAAAAGGAGAAAAACAGATGATCAGAAGATGAGAGAAGAAAGATGAAAAGAAGGAAGAGGAGGGAGGAGGAAAGAAATTATAAGAAGTCAAAAGATCAATCCCTAGTTTCGGATAATCTGGGCTCCCATAAAATTCTCCACCCCACCCACTGCCATACAGATATGCTCTCTTTTAGGGTAAATAATTAATTCACCCCAACATGAACACTTACACACATATACAAAAAAGCACCTTCACACATACTTCATCACCCCCACCTAGATAATGCTGCTGGCCAAGTTTACATCTAGCTCCACGGATAGAGTCTCCAAATACGATTAGCGCTTATCAGAGGAGAGACCAAACTGCCGTCATCTTTGAGTTCATCATAACATCCATATTCATGTATTTAAAATCCCCTCTGGAGTGAAACTGAAGGGATTCAAGCACCTGAAAACTAAGCTCTTAGCAGCTCTGTATTAAGGTCAGGCCTCAGTATAAAACATTGTCCGGAGTTTTAATCTCCAAAAGCAGCATTGTTTGCAGGAAAAACAAGTAATTCTTATATTCTGTTTAAATGGGCATAAGTATTGAAATTTATGTAACATAATAACAAAGCTCTGCTTTAGTTTCCTTTCCTTACACTTGAAGGATACAGCATACAAATATATTGATATATATATATATATATATATATATATATATATATATATATTAGTGCTGTCAATCGATTAAATTTTTTTAATCGTAATTAATCGCATCAATGCCTGAGTTAACTCGCGATTAATCGCATTTTAATCGCACATTTTTTTTCTGATTGAAAATCATTTAAATACTCTCGATGACATACAAAAAATACATACAGGCTAGGTTTGTGCCAATGTTCTTTTTTTAAAATGAAAACAGGTCACAGACACTGATTTATGCCTTAGAAACATGTAGCCAAAAAAAAGGCCCTGAAAACAGGCTGATGTAAAAGACAGTCTTTACAGTTAATACAGTCTTTTGAACAAAGACAAGCATTTTACCCTACTGCTATAAAATGTAGTACAGTTAACATTAGATGTTAATTAACCAAGATAATAATGAACAATTTTCAATTAATACATCAAAATCAATACACCGACATCACTAGATGGAGGTAGTCTGTGCTCTAGAAAGTTACTTTTCAGCCTCTTAACAAAAATGAGAACACACACACACCCACCCACCCACACACAGACACACCCACCCACACAAACACACACACACGATACCGACCTGTGGCGTACACAGACAGCAAGAGTGCCGTAGCAGATTCCATTTCACCTCAGTAATCTGTTTTCTCAGCGTATTTCAGGTTGCTACTAGTTACCAGACACTCAACTTGTTTGTTGGTTGTGGGGCTTAAAGAAAAGGCACTAGCGCTACCCAGTGTATGAGCGTCTTTTTCCCTTGAGGAGCTCCGCTCTTGAAGCCTATGGAAAATGCATAGACTGGGGGAAAATAGCCCCGCCTTCCCGCAGGCTGCAGCGGGATGTACTTGGAAAATTGTACCATAAAACCACATAGCGTTAATCTCACGTTAAAAAAATTATTGCCGTTAAAATGGCCTCGCGTTAACGCGATAATAACGCGATAATTTTGACAGCACTAATATATATATATAAAAACATAATTTGTATTTTGAAAATATCCACTATAGGCACGTTGAAAAGGGACATCATATGCTCGAGACTCTGCCGCCCAGTTTACTGCTGGAGGTCAAAAAACACTAGCGCAATGTATTGTTTTGAGCGGTGAAGTTATCAAGCTAACGGGCTAAATTTGCATTGCTTTACTCCTAAATGCATCTCTATAAAGGAATAACATATAAATCACCCACTCCATCGTGTTATTTGCATTAGGTGTGAAAACCATACTAGTAACTTTTTATCCCACTACCTGGGGGCAGTCTCACAGCTCTGTTCTCGTTCTTGCAGTAAGAAAAAGAGCTTTATAATACTTCATATCGATTCAAAAATACTTTCTTGATCCAAATGAGAAATTATACTTTTTATGAGAATTCCTTTATTTGAAATCATCACTGAGGTTGTAGAGCATTCCCTGGAATAAAGCCATCCTTCTTTATCAGCTTTTTGAGCTTTTTTAAGTCATTTGTTCCGATGTCGTTACCCCAGCAGATGATGGCAAAGGAAAACCACACTTTCCACAACCGACTTATAGAAGATATGTAGCATCTTTCTGAAAACATCAAAGAACTTTTCTTATGAAGTACAGTCTGCTCTGTCCCTTTTTGTAGATAGACTCACAATTATGTCTCCAGTCTAGTCTGTTGTCCTGGTGAACACTGAGGTATTTACACTCCTCCACCACCTCCAGGCCTTCTCACCATGATGTTAAGAGCATTCAACTTGTTGCTATTTCATCTCCTCTCGTCTCTTGTTTTGTTCACATTCAGATCAGATTATTGTTTCCATCATTATTGCCTCCAACCATGACCTTGTTAACCCTGTATTTCTGCAGATGACAGGATTCTGTCTTGTACTAGATGTTAGAGGTTTAGAGTAAAAAGGAATGGTAAGAGTACTGTTCCCTGTGGGGCCCCTGTGCTGCTGACTAGGTGGTTAAGTAGTTGACCCTGTCTTGCGGCTGTTTGTCTGGTAGTCTTTGATTCAGGCAATTGTTGAGGCCTTCACCTGAGTCTCCTTAAGTTTATGACTAAGTAAATCAGAATGAATTGTGTTAAATGCATTGCAGAATGCAAAGTACATGATCCTCTCTGTACTGTTTCTGTCAGTTTTTGTCAAGTCAGATTTGAGGGTCAAGGCAAGACAGGTAATTCTCAAGTCAAATCAATAGTCTGAAACTTTAAATTTCAAGTCCTTTCAAGTCTTTTACTGAAAGTTAAATTATATATATTAAATTATATTTTTTTATCTGTATTCATTGTTTTTTATTTCTGTTTTATAAATGTGTGATGAGTAAAATTAATTACTGCTCCCCCCTTTTTAATTAACAGATGTTTTAATTTTGAGATTGAGGGTAAAATATCAAGTATTTTCAAGTAAACAGATTCAAGCCCAATCCAAGTTACAAGTCATTGGGGTAGAAATCCAAGTCTTAAGGTTTTGAGCAATTTTCCAAGGCAAGTCTAAAGTGAAGTAATTGAAGATTTAAGTTAGTCTGGAGACGCGCCGTGGGAAATGAGTCCCCACCTTGTTAAATACAATCAATTTCGGTGGTTCTTACTTAGACTTTTGTCCAAAACCTGCAATCAGGTCTTATTTCTAGCTCAAAGGAAGCTTGACCACAAAACCTATAGTAAGCAACATATATTTTGTTATCTGTACCAACCTAGGATGGGAAGCTAGGGGGGCGTGCATTGAAGCCTAGATTGCATGTGATCATATTAGAAGGCACCAGTGTGAATGGTCACACCAGAAACAGCAAAAAACAGTATAGCTTACAGTGGTTTACAGAAAGTCAGTGTGGAAAGATCTGCTATTTTTACAGGCATGGACCATGCAACAGCACTTTATCAGTCTTTAGGGGCTGTAGTGAACTCTATAGATTTCTGAGAGGTACATGGTTGTTCAGCTGAACTGAAAATCATATAATCAAAGGCATATGTTTAATGGTTGGACCAAGTATTTAATGTACTTGAAAATGTAGCTGTATGTCAAGCCCTTAAGGTAATTTATATCTCCCAAAAAAACAACAGCATTATTCTGTTAGAAATCTACAATATTTATATGGGTAAGGAGAAAAACAAATTAATTAAAAACACAAAGGGTGACTAAAAGGTGGATAAGAACAAGGTAATGCAGGGCCAATATGGCTATAGAAATAATTTATACATATGTGAGCGGAAACATAAAGTAACATAAAGAGGAAGGTCACAGCAAAGTAGGTCAAACACCTGCATTCAAACTTCCAGATGGGGCGAAGAATTAAAACAGCTGGACCATGATAATACTTTCCTTATTTGCTTTTGTAATGCATTGTTTCAGTGTTGCTTATTTACTTATCTTCCATTTTCCTTACCTTGCTGATCCTCTTTTGGTATGAAGCCAGACTTCAGGGCTGTTATCTCTTCACCTTAGCTCATCTCATTAGGCCTCCTGCATTTAAGAAAACCAGTGTGACCGTCTTTCTTCTCCAGATTGTCCATAATTTGAACCTAGAATTAAACATATGGTTTTCCAATTCTTTTAGTGTTTTTTGGATGTACTTGTCGCCATCTCAATGTGCTAACAGAAGCTTTAGTCCCATTCCTGAAATTCTCTTTGTCAACTCAGATGCGACAAACCCTCTGGTAGTCCTCTGCTAAGAACTAGTCGCCTGAAATGCTCCACCTTCATGAGCATTTGCTCATGAAGATACTAATTCAACTATTGTTTCCTGTGATCTCTTTTAGTCAACACTCATATGCCTGGTCTCCCTTCATGATTAACAACAGTAAACCTTTGAGATAGGTTTGTGTTAAAACTTGAATAAATAATTACTCATTCTGTGGTCTAAATGAATGTTTCCTAGTTTTGGTTTCTGCACTCTTCTGGTTTTGTTTTCTATCATTTGTTACACCCCAATTGAAACTTTATGCACTTTTCTTAGTCTGCCATGGTTGACTATCAACTTGAGTTAGGCCACATTAGAAGACTTTCATTTATAATATAATTGCTTTCTAATGAGCAAAATTAATAAGATGATAGCATTTAAAGTAGAAGAATATGGTGCCCTGCTTCTGATCCAAACCCACAAAATAAAATGTGGTAAATTTACAGCTTTCCCTTTTACATTTCTACTCATCTTCCTTTGTGTTTCATTGTATCTCTAATCTATTTTGTCTCTCCTAAGTTTTGCCTTCCTATGTCGCGGCTTCAGGTCTTCTATGCTACTGTAACGAACGTTTCCCATCATGAACCACATAAGCCTACCTTCAAAACCACGGCCTCAACGGTTTTTTACCGCTTCCACCTTCTTTCTTGCTGTGTGTGTGTGTGCACGCATGTTTATATGAGAACTGCTTGCAGCTCACAGCTGCCGAAAAAGCATCTGAAACCCTGATAGCATCATCACACAGGAAAGAAGCTAGAGAGCTAGAGACACTAGCTTGTGCTACTAAATTTGGAGGAAAGGGGAGAAGTGGGGTTGAGTGCTGCATATAATCTGTCTTACTGTGGAAAAGACAGATGTTCAGCGAGCATGGGAACCCATCAAACCTCTTCACCATGGCGTTTTTGTTGAGGGCAGGATTGCAATGTGTCGTTATCCGAAGTTTATCACTTCTAATTAGTAATGATGGGTCTACAGTGTGTGTAACTGAATACGTACAAAGGCTTTATGGATCTATCAAAGGGAGGATGGAAGCCTCAGCTATGCAGACATGATTCCACTGCAAACGTTTTCATACTAAAAATAACTTATAATGACACGTCTACCTTTTTTTGCTTTTCTGGACATATGTATGTTTCTATTCAAGGCTCGTGAGTAGAGCAATGACATATTATGTCATATGTTACAATAATATATCAATAAAAAAGCTATAACAGGTATCATAAAAATACAGTCCAGTAAGTGGTGTTTTCCCACACCATTTCATTCCAATAATATGGAAATATATCATTTAAAAAATAAAGAAATAAAATGAATGCCTTTGACAAATAACTCCATCCTAATATATCAATGGGGCCATTATGGCATCCCTCTGTGAATGTTTTCTCAGCATGAGGCTTGACCTGAACTAACTCCCTGAGCCATATTTTTTTAACCAGTACTGCCACTCCACCCTCTAGTGTAATACACTGTGCTAATGGCACTGAGTACCAAGGCAGAGATTAAAAGAAGAGGGTTTAAAAAAATAAAAAATAAAGTAGCTAATCATAATAAAGATAAATTGATAAAAACCTGTATATTATAAAAAAGTATATTTTTAGATATAAGCAATGAAAAAAACATTCGCTCATGTAGCATTTGGACCTCTCTTATGTCTCTTCCAGGGTGCCCCCCCATCCATGAGCCCAGTATGAAGTTAAGTAATAAAAGCCTAAACAATAGGTGATACCTTAACAAAATCATGAGTTGATGAATCCTAAACAACTTGGAAACTAGAGTGTTGAAAAAAACTGGGTTCAAAGTTAACGTGCAACTTCTTCTTTTTAAAACCATTTTTTTAAAGGGCAATGAACAGAGATGCACTGCCCTGTAGTTTGAATTTCCCTGCTTCAACCGTTTCTACCAATTCCTTGAAATGCTGTGACTGTTTTTTTTTTTTCACAGTACTGTTGTAGACAAAAGAGCCAGGTATTTAAAGCGGAACGCCGTTTTTTTTTTAATTGGCCCCTTGATTTTACGTTATTACATCATGTTTTACTCACCCATATTAGTTTTGTGTGATTTGGAGCTGTTCTGAAAATATTCGGTTAGGTTATATCCAAGTAACATCTTCCTATGAGCAATGACCTGAAGGCACAAACTGTTCATAATTTATTCTTTATGGTATGCCATCATTCATAACATGTAGGCAAATCACTGTTCCCCAGACATCTGTGGTTATATATTTTTTTATTTATATTTTTTAAAAACAAAACGGTGCGTTTATGACGTCATCCGCGCACGCCGGCTACCATTCATTCATCCTGTCCGCTGAACTGCTGCTAGTTTTACTCACATGCCTGGAAGATGTCTAGTGCTAATACCACAGATGATCTCGCTCTCGAAATGGAATTGAACGATTCAGATTAGCTAGCCGAATGAATAGAAGGGATAAAGCGTAGCAGCCTGTGGCCCAGGCTAACTGTCACAACTCCAGTCCGGCCACGTCACATCCAGTCAAATCTACTGTATCCACATCCAATGATTCACAAAATTCTGGTTAATTCTTGGTTTGAGAAAAAGTCAAGTTCTGACAGTCTGATTAGATAGAAAAGGCTTGTCAATGCGTAGGTTGTCACATTTTACACAAATGTATGGTTTGAGGTAAACTATTTAACTATAACTCTTGTATGTTTAACAGGATTCTTCCTGTTAAAGTGGTAATTTCCTTTCCATGATTAATTGATGCATGCATGCATGGATTACAGCGAAGTTAACAACACAATACTTGCTATTCACCAGGTCAGTCACTCCATGCAATCTGCTGAGTTTCCTTAGATAAAAAATGCATAACCAGTTTAAATAACTTGTACATAACTAAATTGTTTATCAACTAGGTTTAATTAAATATATGTACCTTAAATGGAGTTATTTAATTGCACTCACTTTTTAAGTCACTAAGATTACCTATGTTGTTCATTCATACTATAGTAAAGAAACAAAATAGCTTTCATTTAATTGAATGTTTAGGTTCATTAATCTGGTAAACCTGTTTTCCAGTCAGAAGTCCTGTTGCCTCAACTCTCAGCAGCTCTGAACATCTTCATTTCCATTTCAAAGGAAAACATCACAACAGAATGAAGCTGATATGTGGTGTTTGCTTTTACAAACCCTCACTATAAGAATTATGATTAGATGCAAGAGGTCCATATATATGTGTACATATATATATACACATATATATATATATATATATATATATATATATATATATATATATATATATATATATATATATATATATATATATATATATATATATACATATATATATATAATAATTTAATTAAGGCAAAGTAAAAAAAAAATTAAACTCTTAAGTTCCTTTCATTACAGTTCTTAAGAGTCCCTTGAAAATATGAAAGGAAAGCATTAGGTCAATGAGTGTGTAAAGTTTTGCCACAACAAAGAAAAAGTTCCTTTATCCTGACTTTTTAGTAATTATTCCCAAGGCAAGAGATGCATATCGTTTTATAATCTGGTTTACCAATCATCTAATCTAATGCGCTTTGGGTGAACTTTGTTCACACCCCATATGTACTATCCCTGTCCCTCCTGCCATTCCCCTCTTCTCTCTGAATCTACTCCTTTCATCACTCCACATCCGCAGGGGAGATGTAAAGCTTTTGGAGTAAATCAAGGCTCTCTCCTTCATAAACGCCCGTGCAATTAACTTAGCTCTTTCTCCCTATGATTTACAGCGACCATATTGGTTACTGGAGTCACAGGCCCTCTGGGTTTCAAAAGAAAAAGACTGAGTGGCTAACTTCCCTCACAGTCTCTCTGAAACACACAGTCATGCACACACACATTCACATATGGAACCGCAAAAGTTGCTTGCACATATGCAGATTTATTCACATCTGCTGCTTTGAACAGAAAATGATTAGTGAAGAGAAAAAAAGAGGGCAATGAGTGAAACAATGTGGCATAATGACAGAGAAACTGATGACTGGCAGCAAAAAATGTAAGAGCCTATACAAAAAAAAAAAAAAAAAAAAAAAAACGAATCTATCCCTAATACTTCTTTACAAACAGAAATTTTTTATAAATTTAGAATAAACCTCAGCAAGATGTGATGATGATTTTATCAAAAAAAATACTTTAACTTTGATTTTAGTATACCTTTAGTACATACAAATAAATACAGTTTAGTGATTTTTTTATGGTGCATGAAAAAGTATTTATTCCTTCACCCTTGCGTTCATTAATTGAATTCCAAAAACAAAGATAGTAAAGAAAAGGAGGTATGAATGCAGCATTTTTAGCTTGAATATGAGAAATACCCAACAATGTCACAGAAGTCTTGCACAACTCGCCTACTGAATAGAAAACACCTGTAGTTTTGGTGGTTTTATTTCTTTAACTGGAACCAACTAAATGGGTGTCTTGGACTTTGAAGTTTTTCCACGGCATTAAAACCTCTTGCTGTGCAAGTTTAGAAGCACTATTTGTAGGTATGTGGGGGTGGAGATTTAGCAGAAATGTGTTTCTTTTTTTTTTTTTTACTGTAAGTTAGAACCTAAAATGTTTTCAAATTTTTTTCACCTAATTCAGTGATAGTGATGCACCCGTTACTCCTATTTTTAACAACCATAAGACAAATTGCACTAATGTAAAAAAGAAATTATTATTTTTTAATTAATTTTTTTTTTATAATATGTAAATCTACAAAAGAAACAAATTAGCTTGTTGAGAAGATGCTGTTACTGAAACAACATGGGTTTTTGAATAAGATATTAACATATACCACATATTGAGTCAGAAAAAGTGTTGCAATAGATCTTTAGTAGATTAAAGAGCTTCTTTTAAAGAGGACTGGAAGCACAAGTATTCCTGTATTAATTTGCAAACTGAGCCCAGACGTACAATGTATATCCATCCTATGTCTATTTTGTTTTTTATTTGTCTTGTTTTTTTGTTTTTTTTGTTTTTTTCCTAGGTTACTCTGTATTTTGTTTAACTTCTTTTGTTTACTAGTTCAGTAAAGATGGAGCAAAGGGTGCGCAAAGAGGGACAGGCTTCTGATTTTGTGCTGTAATTCTTTTTTTTTTATCCTTTGTGTTCTGTTTTTAGATAAGCTAAATTTAGCTGAGAAAAATCCATGATTTCATCATTTGTTCCCAAACTAGCTCATAAAAAATAACTTTCACAGCCTTCAAGGGCTTTGTACTTCAAATGTGCTCACAGATCTCCCAGTATGTCACTTCGACTCCCAGAACAACTCTGATTCTATTTGTGTCGCTGTCTATTTACTTAAATGCATTTCAAATGTATTGGCTAAGGCCCCTCCCAAAACCAACCCACATTTCCAAAGCCTGCTATACCCCCAACACACAGTCTTTCATATACTCTCACACACACACCCACACACACATAATACCTCTCTCTATCTTTGTTGGGTCTTTCTATTGACTTTCATTCATTTCTAAACCTTTCTACAGCCTAACCATGACCCTTATCCTAAACCTAACCGTTACAAGTTCATACCTAACCCTAACCCCAACCTAAACTCAATTCACACCTTAGTCCTCAACATGACCCCTGACCCTAAAACAATAATTCCCCTAATGGAGTCTAGGCATTTGGCCCCATTATGAGCAGCCTGTCCCCACAATGTGCTATTCCTCCAGAAAATGGGCCACACAATGTATAAAATACAAGAACACGCATGCAGATATATAACCTTCACAGCCACCCCTGAAAAAACGTTGTGCCCTGCTCTTGTCTGGTATAGCGGCCTGACTCAGACTGGCTTCATTCTTCCATGTCATGGACTGAGAATGTGGATGTGTCTGTTTGTTTCTGCATGTGTTAGAGTGCATCGGGGCATACAGTGTAATGATCATGCTGTATGTGTGTGCGTGTGTGCATGTGTGAGCAGTGGACTAAAAGAAGCAGTTGTGTTTTATGTTTTTCTACTGATTGCACTGTTAGCGTTTGTGGTCAAGGCATAGAATGCAGATGGACTCCATCCAAGCAGAAAGCTATTGTGTGCAAAAGTATTTGCATGTGACAGACGCAGAGAGAGCACGTCAGGATGTGTGCAAGAGTATTGAAGCAGATGACCTTCTTCAATGACCTCTCATCCCCCGTCCAATCCAGAACATCATCTCACCTCGACATGCCCGCATCTTAAACTCTTCCACTCCATCTCACAGTGATCAGGCTTCCACATGATGTTCCCAGTTAGCCTGAGAGAAAAATACCTCCAGTCCTGGATTTCAGCCCAATGGATTCAAAGTATAGCAGTTATTTTATTTATTTTTTAACCTTACTTTGAGCTGATGGTTGTTTAGTGCTTTGGGTCATTAGGAGTTAAGATATACTCAAAAATATAATTCTGCTATTTTAACATACCATAACACATTATGCCCTAAATAGCTTTTATTTAAAACTTTTTATTGCCTATTAAGGCGATTAAGGTACTATATGACGATATAACATCCTTTACAATTAACTTTGCTAACAGTTGTTGTGTCCTGATAGAAATATTTTCTCTTACTTAAATTTATATTTATGTTTAGCGCTACATTTGTGTTCCTTTGTTTAAACAAAACTGTTCCAGATCACTTTTGGCTCAGTTGTTTGGAGTAATATTACTTTGAAATCTGTTTTTTTAGAAATGTAATCCCTTTTGTACTTTAGGCCACAGATCTCAAAAAGATTATTGTTACTTTTATTTTTTTTTAATAATCTTTTTGGATTGTGCTGTACAGGTTGATATCTCTCTATGTTACATAGCATTTATTCAGTAAGCTTAAAGTAGATTAACTTTCCTCAGTTTTAGGGGTTTTTGTAAAGTTTGGTAAAAATGTAAGTTTGAATGCTAAGGTGTGCTGAATTAAGTGCTGCTTAGTAATGTAATGAAAGCAAAGTACTGTAAAATTCCTATACAAAATGCCATGAAAACAACTACAGCAAATCAAGAAATTAAATTACAAAAAAAATATTTTTGGTGCATTTTACACAGTTATTGGCATTCTTGGTATAGATCTTTTTAAAATACACCAAAAATATATATTTTATTGTCTTTTTTTTTGAAAAGTCAAACTCAAGATAAAAAAAAAGGCATTTCATTATTACAAACATTTATTCTTATTGATTGAAACATGAATAGCTAAAACAAACTGCTTCTATCCCAAAAGTCTTCATATTTCAACTTAAAAATAATATTTAAAAAGTTTAACCTAAGTGCAACTAACAAACAAGGAGACACAGGTTGACCTTGTCATATAACACATGAGGAAAGTTACCTCCGGAATTTTGTGAATTAAATGCTGCAATACTTTTAGTGTGAGGGTATTTTTTATTTTTTATTTTTTTTCTTGAACAAGGGTTTAAAAATAGAAAGGGTGATGTAAGCATTAGGAATTAGGGTAAAGTTATAAAACCTGAAAGCAAAAAAAAATAAAAAAGGTATCAAAAAATTCTTTATACATCCAAGCTGTAACATTTTGTATGCCCTTTTTTCACATTCCTTTTAATGTAACAGATGTGTCTTTGAACCATGAATGGCAGAACAACTATCTAATGAAATAAAATGTACCATGGTCTGGCCTGACATGCTTAAACCATAAACCCAAAGCTTCTTCTGGCTTTTTCTTTTCTTTTATCGCTTGGGGACTAAGTCAGAGAGACAGAAACATAACAGCAGCTTACCTTGGTGTCAGCCCAAGGCACCAAGCTCTTTCTCTCCTCCCTACATCTTCACTTTGTAGCCCCTGCCAAACACTGTCACCCCAAATCTCCCTCTAACCCACCTCCTTATGGCAGCAGCTCTTACAAGGCGACCGCAGTGGCATGGCGGAGCCACACGGCACCATCTGCTTCAGCAGGACACGTGGTGGAGGGAAAGGATGGGCTTCCTCCATGTGCTCTATCCCTTCAACCTTCTTTACCCAAATCCTTCTCCCCTGTGTCCTCCAGCCATAGTACCCCCCACCCACACCTAAAAAAAATCCTGCTGATAATTTTAAAGGAATGAAGAGTCCCTCTGTGGTTGGATTTATGAACTCTTGTAGTCATAGCAACCAGCTGCAACTTGTATTTAAGGAGGGGAGCACGGTGTAGTGTAGGGGATTTGGGTGGGGAGAGTGGTGAAATGTGTGTGTGTGTGTTTTCACGGTGCTAGAAATGTTGTTGGGGGTGTTCTGTGGTGAAAGAAGAGGCATTGTTGTATTGGTATTCAGGGTGTCAGCAAACCAGAGTAATTGCTTCTTCTTAATAAAAGCGAAAGAGCTAAAAGCTTGATTGAGGAGAGCAATTTTTTTACTCCAAGAATATGGTCTAAAAGGAAAAAAAATGCTGTATTTATATCAAATTTTAAATATTAAGTTGATCTCCTCTTTGAGCATGATAATACAGGTCCCATCAGTCTGCCTGAATGGAAGCAGGGAATGCAAATGATCTCCCTAACTTGTCCTTTTATTATACATTATAGGTGAAAATAACTTTTTACGTCCACCTCATGCAAGTAATTCCATATCATGTGCTACATGTAAATCAAAGAAATGTACTGCGTGTGATCTGTTTGCTGTCACACTGGCTATGTTTCTGCAGCTCACTCTGGGATGTATATACAGTATCAAGCTTTTAGCTTCTTATCACACCCTCGCAGCGTTCCCTTAAAAGCTCAAAGTCAACCACTATAGAGACATACTTGGTGTGGAGAAAAAAATGGGGAGAAAGGGTAGCAAAATGTGGAGGGAGGGAAATAGAAAAAAAAAAAACCCTGACACCTCAGACTCCACTTCACAGCCAGTGAAGGAAGAAAGTGAGCAAGCCGCTAAGCCTTCCCTCCCCACAGCCGCCTGCAAGGTGAAGATATAGCTGCTCACATTTGGACAGATGCGGAGATCCGTTTACAATGTGTGTACATCTGTGTGTGTATTTTAGGCCTTTTGCTTTCTCTGGCAATTTCATATTTTCTATTGTCTGTGGTTGTTTAATTTAGATCCTTTGTTTTGTAGAAGAAAAAAAAAACTCAGAGCAAATTTTCAAATGCTTCTTTTTTTTTCTTGTGGGAAATTTCAATTTGCGCCCTGCAACAAAAAAAAAAAACAGTTTGTGTCGACATTAAGAGAGAATTGGACACTTGCTGAGAACAATAGATGCTTGCTGAGGTTTATGTATCCCAAATGGGCAGTTTTGAGAGTCTGTGAATGGTTTTGTTATTCTCAAATGTCTAATTGCACAGCAGGACTGTTTCAGTGCATGCTATGAAAGGCTCTGTGATTGAGCTGCAAAGGGAATAAAAACAAACATACTGTTAAAAGCTGTGGCCCAACTGGGTGCTGTGTCAGACATAAGCAGTATAATCAAACATGACATGATATTATTGTCCTCCCTATGTCAATCGCTAGTGGCAAACACTCAGGATCAGAGTGATCTCTGGCAAAATAGAGCACATCCTTAACTGTTTGCAGACAGCAAAAAAGGATATTCAAAAAATGAAAACAGCTGCAGATTAAATTAGGTGAAACGGATAACTTGGAGGAAGTCCTGCTGTCTTGTCCAAACCCTACACTCATGACTTATGCACTTTCATGTTTCATTATATTTAATTATAGATCATACTGGGGCAGCCTTTAACAGAGTTTGCATGCCTCACAGGTACAAACAGTTGAATAATTCAGCAGCTGGCTTGTCGGGCAGGATGGGGTGTGAGTGCAGCTGGAGAATAAGTCCACCGTTATTCATCTCTCAGCTCCATCTTGCTGGGGGACAAAATGGAGATTGAGTAAGGTTAAATATCTGATTTTCCCCATGTTGTCCCAGGCCTGATCTACCGGAGATACACGTCGACTATCCGGCAGAGAGAAAGAAAAATACATCAACGCTTTAGTTCTCGTGAGACTGACAGCAGCTGGGTGGTGTTTTATTTTTAATGCCAGTTCATGTCATCGGCAAACCACTTATGTGAGAATCGATTCATACACAAAGAAAGCTATAAAGCAAACAGCTATGTCCAGACTTTCAGAAATCAGCATGTAACAAACGGAGATTTGACTCCTTTCCTTCCTAACAAAAGCCATTACTCTTATCTGTGGATACCATATCATCTTAGATTGTCCATTGGTTAGAGAAAATTACATAGTGCATTATGTGTAGACAGTGAAATGTAGATAAACGAGAGAGAGAGAACAAAATAATTCTGCATTGCATTTTTTATTTATATTTTATTCTTCAATGACTTTAAATAAAGGTAAACAGAATATATTTAGTCCAGTAGTCTAAATTATAATAGATATTTTATATATCTTTAATTCTTCTATCTTAATGCTAAACATCAGGAAACCTTGTCAAAATGACATAAAACTTAAAATGGTCAAATATGTCAAACAACTTGGTAAAAGGCAAACCTTGAAAAACCTTTTGCGACCCTTTTTCTTTGGCTTTGACAACATAAAACTAAGGGATTCAGTTGGTGTTTTTTAAAGGGAGAAAAAAAGAGGCAAAAAGACAATCTTTTCAATTCGTCACAGACATAGCCTATGTTATTTGGCATCATCAGTGTTATTTGCAGAGCTTCTTTTCATTGAATTCTAAACTGAAAAAAACAATCAGTTATAGTGTTTTTATTCCTTAAAGCTATTGAACTAAATCTCAATAACAGATCTTATACTCCCATGGAATCAAAATTGTATAATACATCTGACCAATTGTTGTTTTTTTATTTTGAGGGTTCCCCCATTTGCATACGCTGTACAAATGCAAACAATATACAAATCCATAAATTCACAGCATATTCAAGAAGTCCTGCAAAAACCTCAAAAAACACATGAACAAGCACAGATATATAACTACACACAGCACATGCAAATGAGAAATTTTGCAGTCAGAGAAAATATGAGTATGCAAAGGGAAAACTGTCTGAAAACACATAACTGCTACAAACAATGACGCTAATACAAAACACACAAAATAATTGCAAAGGAAAATTCCTTCAAGTAGCTAAACCGCAAGTTATGAAAAGCTAAAAACTAGCTATGCCTAATGGAAGTGCTCCAAACTATTAGGGGGAGATATTACACTGATAGGTGATCAAACCTAGCCTGACGTAGTCCGACTCAATTCTAGTCAGAATATGAGTCTGATACTGCTCCATAGAGCTGTGATTATGGGGCGTGTTTCGAACGAACCAGGAAAAAAAAAATGCCTCTGCACTCAATTGGATAGACCTACAACCAATAAGAGCAACGGAGTGCGTGACGTATGTTAAGCCACGCATAGTTGTTTACCACAAAAATCAAAGCGTGCAGTTGCACGCCTATAATAAGAAGATGAGACTTGATCGCGTTTCTCTGTTCCTCTTTTAAAATTAATTTGCTGTCGATATCTTCTACACTTAAAAAAATTGTGCAACTGCTTTTGGCCTTTAGTTAATCATGTTTTGTTACTTTAACACAATTTTTTTATATCCTACCCTGCTAACATTAAACAATTGTGTTTAAATAACTAAATATGATTAAGTAAATGTCAAAAATGGTTGCATTATTTTTTTCAGTGTAGAACAGACCTAATAGCAGAATCTACTCACCTCAACTCTCCAGCGGCAGCCATTATTGTTGTCACCCAAGCGCGCATTGGTCACGTGGTTGATTACGTTACTGTTGGTCATCTGTCCATCATCGTATAAAGCCCGCCCTGACAATTTGATTGGATCGCCTGACAGTGGGCGATAATACTCGCGCTACTATGGAGCAGAGCCAGACCGAACTTCCCGACCTCAAACTTTGTGGGCGGGACTAAGTTCGGAATGGCACCCAGGCTAGATCAAACCTTCAGTAAAGGAATAAATGGAATGCTTGAGAAGATGAAGTACTGAATAAAGCTACCCCTTTTTTCTCATTCCTTTTCATCCATTCTTTTTTCCTCATGCCCTTTGATCCATCCTTTTTGGCCTTATATGGCTCTGTCACCATTTTTCCTTTCTTCTTTGTATTATTTATTCATCCAGTCCATCCTTATATAATTGTCTGTTTACTCTTCTAAGTCCCAATATTTGGTTTTATCCATTTGCTTTTTCTTTCCCATCCTTTGTCCCTTTCTTTGCATGATGTATACAATAATTGTGACCTCCATTCTTTCCACAGGAGGTGTCCCTAATAGCTTCCCCCACCCATCCTTACAACCTTCTACAGAAGCACCATAGAGAGCATTCTGATCGGCTGTGTCACTGTATGGTGTGGAGGCTGCAGCGCCTCAGACTGGAAGAAGGTGAGAAGAGTGGTGAGAGCAGCAGAGAAGATCATCGGGGCTCCTCTTCCCTCCATTAAAGACAGGGGATAGCAAAGTCTAGAAATCTCTGCAGAGACTGCTGACCCTGCAACTTTGTTCCCAGATTAACTGGAAGACGAGTCTATAATGTTCTCCAATGTCTCCTGCAAGTACCAACACTGTTGGATCTCACTCATATTCTCCTGGACCTCTGTGTATAGTCTACAAAGCCTGTTGAATCAAATCCCTACAGATTCATGCTACCTCCCCTTTATCCCTGAAGTAAACAGTCATCAGTCAGTCATCAAATGTCATCAACCAGTTCCTTCCTGATCCGTCTGTTTTCTCCCCTCAGACCAACCACAAAGTTCAACTGACTTCCTGCAGTTTTCCACTTCCAGATTCTTGATTGCTTTTTACAAATAAAATGTTAAAATTCCATGGTGATTCTGTATGTATCAAAAAATTAGAACCCAACCATACACAGAGATTCTAGAGCAGTTACCACAACAAAGCTGGCCTTAGTTATCAGAATTCTGAGTTTATTTTTGTTTTTGTTTTTTATAATTTATTCCAATGCTTCTGACCCAACAGATGATAACAGAGGAGATCACACTTTCTACAACAGACAGAAGATATGTAGCCTTTTTCTGTTA